CAGTATATGTATGTATATGTATATGTATTATTACTGAATAATAATAATAAGTTATTAGCAAAATGGCACATTTTAACAGTAAATAGTTAGGACCATGTCTCCTATAGTAGGTGTTAGCCTCTTTGACATGAATAACTTCAGTGGGACAGAGTTCAGGGTCTAGACCAGAGGGGGGATTTAAAGATTCAGCCAGACACAGAGGACAGGTAACAATATGAAAGCAGCTGGTGGGAGGCAGGAACCTGTCACTGGACCGGTCTAAAAGAAAGAACACAGGTAAGTGGTTCTGATTATGGAACAGAAACCTGCCTACTAACCTTGTCAGTCAGGTAGGAGAGCTGTGAAGCTCCGTCAGCACTGATGATGACCTGACAGTGATGGAGGGCAGGCCTTTAATGATGAGGCAAGCTTTAACCATGGTCTGAGTACAGGAGCAGGGGTCATTTTCAGTGGTGGCCCTCAGCTTTAAGTCTCTCCAGACTCTTGAAGATCTTGATTGTGCTCTTTATACACCTGTTTTTATTCTAGTTCTAGTTTYAGTTGAGCAGAAGATCATAGATGTTATTGTGCTGGTTTGATTTGTTTTTTAATCTTTTTTAATAGTTTTATTTGCTGTTTCTTGGTTTTCATCTTGATTCCTGTTACAGTGCAGCTCTAAGGCTGCTGAAATGGACTAAATGACCTCTGTGTTTGTTAAATGTGATGTGTTTTTTCCTGCAGAGGGGAGGAGAGGTTAGGAGGAGGCTACATTGTTGTCGACCCTGTCCTTCGTGTTGGCGTAGACAACCATGTCCTCCCATTGGACTGCATCACCATCCAGACATACCTGTCCAAATGTCTGGGACATCTGGACGACTGGACAGACAGACTGAGAGTGGCCAAGGAGTCAGGTGAGTTCCTGACTTCAGCTGTGATGATGATGTGATGATGAATATATCTGATGCACAGTTTTTAGTCATTTGTTCCTTTGTGTCCTCTGGACTGTGAGTGAAAACCTGCTGAAAGAATCAAAATAAATCTGTATGTTTTATAACTTCATCAACACTGAACCTTCAACAACTCAGTAATGTTTGACTTTTAAACCAGAGCTGAGTTTGATTTGTTTTAAATAATGTTTGATTTGTTTACTTTAACATTTTCATGTCACATTTCATGTTTCACATGTTTCCTGTCACATTTCATTTTCATGTCCCTCATGTTTTGAACACTTGGTTTTAATGTGTTCCTAAATCACTTTGATGTTTTCCCTGTGATGGTCATGTGACCTGCTGAGGGTCTACCTCAACAGGTCACATGATGTCTCACATGATGACCACCAACAGGCAGACCCAGAAACATAAAGCAGGTAAAGAAAATGGAAGAATGGGAGGATAGATGTTCACTGGGATAAAGTGTAGGTTTTTTTTTTTGGGTATATTCTAAAATAGATAATTTGTGAATATATTTAAATATATTATATCTAAATATAATTCTCCTCGGCACCACATTTCTTAATTCGATCAAGAGTTGACCCAGGAAAGAAATGAAAAACTGTAACTTTATTGTAATCAGTCTCAGAATAAATTTACCCAAATTAAATTCATGAGTTCTTGTCTTATCAGAACCAGGAATATATTTTATCAAGACACAAAAATGAGATTAGCGTATGTTGGCACGTTCTCCATGGGCCATTTATTTACAGATTAAATGTATTTACAACTATGGCAAGTGATGGATGAATGATGACATGTTGAACCAGGTAAAAAGCTGAGAGAGTTTGTTATCACGAGTGAATGAATGAACAAACAGAC